CTCATATTTGGGTCTTCAATTTTGTTCCATTGGTCTATGGGTCTATTTTTATGCCAGTACCATATTGTTTTTATGACTATAGCTCTGTAGTAGAGCTTAAAATCTGGTACATTAATTCCCCCAGCATTGCTCTTAGTTCTCAGGGTTGTTTTGGCTATCCATTCCCCAAGCCCTTTTAATGCTTCTTCTACCCTCAGTCACCAGTTTCATCCTGTTGTGCTGAGCTGCCCTGTAGACATGTCTGCCCCAAAATTTGTCTCCCTGAGTTAGGTAACTCCACTTAAGAGAGACAAGAAAAGTATAGTACTTTAGCTTGGACCTGGACAGCCATATTATCTATTTTTCCTTCATCCAGGCTCACTCTTTCTGAGTCTGTTTCTCAGACACACATAATCTTGACAGATAGCATCATAAATACTCTTATTTCATAAAGGCACAAAAAGTACTTTGAACAAAGGAAGACAGGAAAACTAGAGAGAAAGGGCAATTAATGAAGATGATAACTTACAAATCTTTTTTACTTTTTGTATTCTCTTTTAGAAATTCAAGATAGCTACTGTTTGAGGCAACAGAAATTTGGCAAGCCAGACAAGTTTCAAAAAATTTAAAAGGTAATTTTAGCCACAGTTAATTCCATAATTTTATGTCTACATTTACTATAGGCACCAACCTAAATCACCAGTTAATGGGATGTGCCACCTCAGAAATCCAGAAGAGAGATGTGGAAGTTCACTCCTTTGGTAAATATTTAAATTTCTTCGATGAAGAGCAATTAGTTGAAGGTGACTAAAACAATAATTTATTCTTGAATTTTTTTAATTAAGAAATTTTAAACTTTCAAAAGATGTAACTCACGGGTAAGAGGAATGTAATTTCAAAATGGAGGGTGGGGTAGTTTGCTGGGGATGGAACCCAGGGTCTCATACACCCTAAGCATCCACAGCACCTCTGTGCTTTACCCCAAGTCTTTCAAAACTAAAATTTAAAAGATCTTTAAAGTGAGTCCTAAGAGATAATGAGGAAGGGGAAGACTACAGACAAGGAATTCCTCTAGGAAGGTAAGAAAAAATTAAAGTATTATCAATGGGTTGAACTTGTTGAAAGGCTAGAATTGTGTTTCCATCAACACCTGGGTTGGGCCTACTAACAGTACTGCAGAAGTATCCTCTAGTTCCTAACCCAGGGACACTAAAATTTAACTGATTACAGATTGGTAACTAAAACGCTTGTTAAAAAATACATTACCACTGTCTCTGAGTTTTCATGCTATTGTTTTGGAGCACAATGAATCCTTGTAGTAAGATGGGTTATTATATAACTTTATGCACTTACTGTACAGAAAGGTAAAACCAGTATCACACCTAGGATACTATATATAGGCAGGGGAGCTTCTCAGATGCTTGGTGGGAACATCTTAGTCAGAACAGCACCATCTAATTTAGTTCCAACAGAGTGCCCCTGACCACATTGAGCTACTGCTCAACTTCTGGTGTTGCTGTACCACAGGACCTGCCTCAGTCTTATAGGGATCAGAATGAGAGGTGGACTGTGGTAGGTGTGGAACAACAGCTGTAGTGGTGGTAACTGAATGCTATGTGGTAGGAAGCATCTTGATAAACAGGCCTAATAACTACAGATAGTAGGGGCTAATCCATAGGCTTAGAAAAGTCTTTATTTTTACAAAAGTGAGTTCAAGGCCAGCCTCAGACTCTGTCTCAAAAAAAAAAAAAAAGGAAAAAAAAAAAAAAAAAAAAAAAAAAACTAAAAATAAATTCTTGACAAGAAACTCTGTGACAATAACAAAAACATGAGGCTACCTATGATGTGAACAGTAGTGGCTCCCTACTAACCGTGGTGCGATTTATTTATTTATTTATTTTATTTATTTATTTATTTATTAATTTATTTATTTATTTATTTTGCTTACAGCTTTTATTTAAATACAGATGGCTAATTGCTTCAAAAAACTCTGAGCTCTTTCCCAGCTGTAGGAAGTAAAGCTTAACTGGTCTGAGCACCAATCATGTTATTTCATTTCCTTTGTCAATTAGTGGTTAAAAATAAGCATATAAAGTAATGCTAGTCAGTAAGGCACTGGGAAGAGAAAGGACAAAGAGTTCTCTGGGAAACTTTCTTCAGTCTTGTTTTTAAAACAAAACATAAGGTGTCCACAGTTGGTGGCGCAGTTTTGGGAGGTCATACTGGAGGAAGGAGGTCACTGAGGGAAGGGTTTAGAGAGTTCTTAAGCCTTGCTGGATCTTCAGTCATGCCCTGCTTCCTGTGCCTGCCTGAGATGTGAAAGCTCTTCCTCCAGTCACCTCTGCTACCATGCCTCCCCATCATGATGGACTCTTGCCCCTTTGGAACTGTAAGCTAAATAAACTCTTCCTTTTTTTAAGTTCCCTTGGTCATGGTGTTTCTATCACAGCAACAGAAAAGTAGCTAATAAAAAAGGATAGTCCCCTTTCCTGTATTTGGATATTTTCATTTGTTGGTAATAGCCATGGCACGGCCAGACATCTTAGAACAGTTCATTTCACTGTCCTAAGAGGATGACCCAACAGGTTACATTCAGGAAAGTATAAAATATGGAACAAATCGAGATCCTTCGGGGTATAACTGAGCTATGAAATTAACCCATTCTGAAGTTTACTAAGTCGGGGCCTCTAGTCATGGAAGACAAATTCTCTTATTATTCAGTTTAGATGAATTTTCTGTTATCCTAGGCAAACACATCCTAACAAACACATGGCATAGATCAGAAAATTCACAGTACCTGATAAAGATAGAAAACTTTCTGTACAACCCAACTATCTTTAACTACTAGAAACAAACAGCTCAAGACTTGCTATTCTGTAACATTCAGTACCAGAGGTAATAAAGTACTAACAGACCTTCTAAAATGCTATACAAATACAACTGGGACCACTGAGCTCTAGGAAATGGGTAGGCATGTGGGTATGGATTCATCTTGACAACAGAAAGAAAGAAAGACAGGGTAAGTAGGAGAGCACTCCACCAGTTCTCATTTATGCTTTTCAAAAAACAACATAATGACCTCATGGCACAAGGGAACTAAGACTACCTAGCAATTCAAACATTAGAGCACCCCGAAAACAAGGAAGCCATTGCTAGAAATATTAATTCAGGTAACACTTTACTTTCAGAAAGTTGCATTTAAAACTAAAGAAAGCAAGAAAGAAGTATGTGGTTAAAGTGCTTCAGAACAATAAAATAAAGTGCTGCATGTTCTCGCTCATCTGTAGATCCTGGCTTCTAATTTTTATGTACGTGTACAGATATGAGTATAAATGTGGGTGTAGGCTGTAAAAGTAGAGAGGGGCCCAAACTAGAAAGGGGAAAAGAGGTTTTCAAGAAACAAGGAGTATGTGTGCAGTGGGGATGGGGGAAGCCAGGATATAGAATACACGTGACATAAATGTGGAAAGAGGACAAGGGACTGCTGGGGTACAATGGCACAAGTTGGGGGGGTATAAGTGAAAGCAGGGGAATGGGGGAGAAGCACGGGGGAGAAGAATTAACAAAAATACAGTATGACTGCAAAGAACATAATAAAGCCTATTACTTTGTATGCTAATTTAAAAACAAAAATTTAAAAAGAAAACGCTGCATTCCAAAGAATTTTGACCTTCAAAAGTTGACTAGGAAAATTCAAATACCTCCAAGAGGCACAACTAATTTAAGATAAGCTAAGGACTAGCTGAGTTGCCTTAGGCCCAAGCAGAGTAAGCAGCTGAAGTTAAACCTATTTAAAGATTTTCTGCTGTATAAACAAATTTTATCACAGGCACAAATTAAGACAAATATGGCAGAGCTTGAACCCTATATAACATTCTAGTCTTTAGGCTCCTGGTAAATGACTGCTCTTTCTCTCCAAGTTAAAACTAGTACAAGTTTAAAAGGGCTCTTCATAAGGGCACAGAGCTTCCACTCACCTCTGTTTCAGGGCTGGGATTTCTGTGGGTTCTGGCTCAAGTATTTCATAGGCCAAGTTTACATCCTCTGTCTCTCGAAGCAATGCATAAATGGGCTCAATTTGTTCATTAAACCTTGCCAAAAGTGTGCGTGCATCTTTTTTAGGCATTGCTGATTCATCCTCTTCTACCTCTGTATGGCAAAAAGTACAGCGGAAAGTTCCTACAGAGAAAAGTCAAGTCTCAGGTCAGAGAAGGGAAATCTTCCAGATAAGTCTTTAGCAAATAGTTCATAGCTCAATCCCTCTACCGGTTTTATTACAGCTTCCAAATATGTAGATGTCAAAAGAACTACAGGGTGTCCACCCTCTAGAGTCCACAATTATCTGCTCCCACAGATCTGTCCATCACTATGTGTCCATCATTCTTGATAAACTTAAAATGTTTATCCCTAATAGCTTTTTTAAAAATCACAAAATTTCCAAAATATTTATATTTATCTTAACTTACAGCAAAATTATCTACAGCTTATTGCTGCACTATATCCTTTTCCAACAGCTTTCTTTTTTGCATGATACACTTTCGGGTTTTTATTTCAGAGAAAACCAAATACTAGTTTTAAAACTGAAAGCTTTTGGTCATCCTGTGCATTGCTGCAGAGCTACTTACTTCTTTTTTTAAAGATTTTGTTCTTTATTTACATGTACATGTGTGCATATGCAAAATCCAAAAGTGGGTGGTGAATCCCCTGAAACTGGAGATATAGGTGGTTGTGGGCTATGTGACAAGGGTTCTGGAAATGGAACACTAGTCCTCTGCAAGAGCAGCAAGTGCTCTTAACCACTGAGTCCTCTCCAAGGACTATTTCTTCACCTGTATAAACCACTTATATTGAAAGACAAATATTCAGTCCATTCTCAAATTTAAGGGTTCAAGAAAATTTGATTTTTGTTTCATATCCCTCACATCAACTTGGACCTGTAGAAATCTCTCAGCAATGTCCAGCTTTTCATTTCTACTGCCAGCTTACTTAGCAAGACCACCATTATAGCCTAAAAGGCTTTATAAATATGGTTCTTGAATCTCTAGGTTCTCAAATTCCAGCTCCCCTAGACCACTCCTTTTATCATCCTATTTAAAAAAAAAAAAAAAAAAGTCCATTTGATAGCTGGATTTCTAACAGCCACAAAATATCTAAATTTCCCATCCTAACATTCAAGACACTGCAGAATTTGGCTCCAAAACATAACCCAGACATAAATGTTTGTGATTAACAAATACTTTATTTGTACTATTTCTAAAACACTCCCTGTACTTTTTGATCTTTATACTACTCCTGCAAAAGGGTATCAGAAGTGAGGCTCTTAAGAATTTTGTGGTTTGTGCAAAGTTATACAACTAACATAAGAAAATAACAACAACTATACCTTGAGTGTTTATTAAGTGCCAGGTAATATTAACCTTGATGTTTGTAATATTACTGCCTACTTAAATATGTAAACTATGTAAGTTCTAATGGCCTCAGTAATTTGGTCAAAATCATACAACTAGTTGGGAGCATGGGGTCAGAAAAATTTAAGCTATTATGCTAAAACTCATATCTTAAACAACACCTAATAATCTACCCCACTACCATGCATTTCCGGTTTGGCCTTACTCCCAACACTAGGGATATGCATCCTTCCTTTCGGACTGATCGCACTTAAGGGATTAAGAAAGATAATGTAAGTACTTAGTGCAGGATACACAGCAAGTACTGACTGACACATAATCCCTTTTCCTACTCTCTCTTTCACAGGTACAAAATAACCAAACTAGGCATTTCTGCTTCCATGGAACACTAGATCCTCCTGATATATTTCCAATAGACGTTTCTTCATGCCCCCACCCCCACCCCATGGCCAATAATAAGTGAATTCTTTGCTCACACACCACTGCTAAAACCTTATTCTTCCTGATTTTCTTTATGCAGCTCCCCAAATAAGTGAAAAAGGGAGAGAGAAGCAGCTCCTCCAAGCCAGGTGTCTCCACACTCAAGCTAGGCTGTGGTGCTTGTCTGTCACAGAGAACCTCACACCAAATAAGATCCTCTATAACCATGACAGAATTGAGTCAGAACCAAGCCATATGGAATAATGTCTGAGAAGCAATAGCAAGGAAACCATGGAAAAATTTCCAGGGAACCCAAGTAACTACTGATTCTTTACCAATTAATTTGGGCCTTGCCCTACTCTCGCCTTAAATTTAAGATTTATTAAGATACCCAATCACAGAATTTCTTTCTTTAAAATACTTTAAATTTCATTGATTCAGTGAGTGTGTGTGTGTGTGTGTGTGCGTGCGTGCGTGCGTGCGTGTGTGCGTGTGTGCGTGTGTGCACCCCAAATGAGGGTCGAAGTCAGAGTACAACTTGCAGGAGTCAGTTCTCTCTGTTTGGGATCAAACCAAGTTGTCAGGTTTAGTGGCAGGTGTCTTCACTTCCTTAGCTATGTAACTGACTGTACCCCCACTTTTTGAATCCTCCCCCAAATTACACGATAAAACCCTAAATTCTCTAAGTTTCTCCAGCACTGTATTACTGTACCACTCTAATATGCATCTTGGGATGTAAAGTCTCTTACTGCAGAAAACATCCATAAGTTTGATTTTGCTATATGAACGTCTGACTCTAGAGTATCAACATAAAGACTCTAGAGTAATCAGAGCTGGGGGAATAGCTCATGTGGTAAAGAGTTTGCCTTGAAATCAGCCCTAAAACCCAGGTTTAATTTCTTTTATTTATTTAATAAACATATAATTAGAAGAAGCATTTCATTACAACAGCATTGACATATTCAATAACACTTCCCAGAGCTAAGATGCATCTCTTTCAAAATTGGATGTAAATTTTTAGGTTTACACTTGAATTAATACAGTTATACAATATTGTACACAGTATAAACCCTGTAAAACATAAAAATAAATGAGGTTTTCAGCTTTAAAAAAGATCTCCATTTCAGTATTAAAATACACAGTTTCATACAGAAAAATTGATTTTTAATACAATTAACACTAAGATGCACATGCATTTCTAATCTCTATATATCTGATTATTACTAGTCACAGTCACTTGCTTTCTGAGCTTCTAGGCATCTGAGCATGGATATAAAGTCATCAGGTAGATTTCAATGGTAATGTTTTTCACATCCATCAGTTATTAAGGAGCAAATTTTTATGCTTTGAAGAATTATTTTTTTTAATTTATTTAATTTTATACCCACTTCCCAGATAGCACCCTCCCATAGCCTCCCTCCCACCACTACAGCCCTGATGCTCTGATATCCCTGCTACTGTCTGCTGTGTTCTCGGCAACCCCAGCCATTCCTCACCACGAGCCCTTCTGGTGAATATAATCAGCCTATCTAGAGGTTGTTTTAGGAGGATCAGCTGTTCCTCATCCAACGGTAATCAGTTGTGAATATTCCTTTGGATAAGATTGGGGTCTGCTGTTGATTTTCCCAGTTCTATGCTGGGTTACTATGTGGGAATCCCTTTGGACACCCTGGCCAACAATTCAAAGAAGGTAACGCCTGTCTGGCATTGTTGCTTGTTATGTAGCCTTTAGCTATACATATAGACTCTTATGAAATTATATTGGCCCCTTTAATCTTTGGTTATACTTTCCTTTTGGGTGTTTAAGGCCATACAGTTGGCCCAGATAAACCAATATATTATTACTTTTAAGGTCATACGAGGATCTGTTTCTCAGGGGTCATATGGGCTTGGGGGGAGCCCCTGGCTCCTCAGGCTTTTACCAGTTCCATCTACGTGAAGATAAGAGGTCCTGCTTGACCTGGGCTTCACTTAGAAGCATGGAGGAAATGTTTTCTCTGTGTTGACCCTCCTCTTTGCAGACTGGACACTGGTTCAAGTCCATCTTCTGG